AGTCGGCATCATTGCGTGTGTTTTGTGAGATAGACTGGCACCAGACATATGGGCTAATGTTGGATTTGTGGGCTTAGGCAGATCTGGGTTGGGATGTTTTCTTGATGTGCACTTACCCTTTATATAAAACTCTCTCTTATACATATGAGTTTCTGTGGATTTTTTTCTCTAATGTACCCAGACTAACACAGGATGCATGTATCCTTCCATGCACAAAAAAGTCGACTCAAGGTGGATTAGAGATATAAATGTAAACTCCAGAGACATAATTCATCAATAAGAAAACTGAGACACTCCTGGCACTTTCCCCTGTCCCTACCTCCTCCCCACCCCAGCCCCAACCCCAACCCTGCAACAACAACAAAGAAGAAAACTGAGACAACTTTAAAGGTCCTATTGTTTATGCCTTATTGTAAGGGATACACATACTACCAAATATAATAAAGAAAACACAATCAATGGTAAACCAATTATGCACGTCAAAAGGCTTCATTGAAATCATGTAAAGAGAACTCACGGATTGGGGGGGAAAATCTTAGTGACACAACAGCAGAAAAAAGGACTAATCACTTAAATCTATAGAATTTTGCAATACTTCAATAAGAAAAAATATATATAATCCAATTAAAAGTGGGCAAAGGACAGGAATAGACAATTTATAACGGATGACACTTGAATGGTTAACAATCACAAGGATCATTAGCCATCTGGGAGAATGAAATCAAAACACCCTCAGCAATAGCCCAGTTCAAAATTACAGAGAACAACAAATGCTGGAGAGGGTGTAGAGAGATTGAAACTCTCATACACTGCTGGTGGGATTGTAAACATGTACAAGCATTGTGGAAAGTGCTACGGCACTTCCGGAAGCAACTGGAAATAGCAATATCATACCACCCCGCACAGCAATATCTCTGCTGGGCATATACCACAAAGTAATAGTCAAAACACAAACAGACATGTACTCTCCCATGTTCATAGCAGCAGAGTTCACAAAATTGTGAAGCTGGAAACAGCCCAAATACCCATCAGTAGAAGAATGGATAAAGAATCCCTGGTATATACACACAATTGAATACAGGCATCCCTAAATAATAGTGGTGAAAACATGAAACACTTTATGACATGGATGCACCTGAAAACCATTATGCTTAGTTAGTCACAAAAGGACAAATATTGTGCGAGTCCACTACTATAAGTATAAAAACCAAGACAAAGGCAGGCTTCTGTTCTCAAGTCATGCAGTCTTCTAATATGGTCCCCCAAGCAATTAAGTAGTGTGTCTTCCTATTTCCCATAAACCATATATCACCCCATTGTTTCAACATACTAAAAAGCACCTCAAGAGGTGGTCTCACTCCAGATGGGGTCAGTGTCTCGTGTTTTAGGGAGAGGAAGAAGATCAATCAATTTCAGCCATATAGCAGTGTTCTATGATCATTCCAAATCAATAGACCCAAGAATAATTAGTGATCCTTAATGGGAACTAGGATAAAAAAGAGGGAGGGGACATGTCTGCAATGGAGAAAGTGATTACACTTCTGATGGCGAGTAAACCAAAGGGGTGGGAAAACCACCACTGAGAAAAATGCTTAACATTACTTAGACCCTAAGAGTACATATGCCCAATATTATGTTCCTCACTCGGCACTTTTGACCTAGTTCCTATGTAGCCCCTCATGAACAAGCCAACGTGCTACAAACAACTGGGACATTTGTGCCTGACAAAAGACTGTCTTTTTGAAGCACAGCACCCTTCATATACAACAGCAGAAGGGTCAGAATTGGAAACACCATTAAGAGAACTGGACATTATCATAAACTGGCAGATCTAAGGAACTAAAACACTCCCTTGAACTTAAACTGAAATACCCTTGTGCTGTTCTTGTTAGGTGCCTTTGAGTCCATTCGAACCAATAGTGACCCTATGCAAAACAGAACAAAATACCACATGGTTCTGGGCTGTCATTGCAATTGTTCGTATGCCAGAGCCCACCCTTGCACAGTCACTATGTCAATCCACCTCATTGAGGGCCTTCTTTTTCGCTATCCCTCCACTTTGCTAAGCATGATGTCCTTCTCCAGTGACCGATCTCTCCTGACAATATGTCCAAAGTATCTCAAAGTCTTGCCATCTTTGCTTCTAAGGAACACTCTGGCCATTTTTCTTCTAAGACAGATTGGTTTGTACTTTTAACCGTCCATGGAATTTTCAGTATTCTTCTCCAGCACCATAATTCAAATGCATCTATTCTTCTTTTGTCTATGTTTCAGCAAGCTGATGAAGCACTGGAAGCACTCATTCATCTATGCCAGGAAATCTGGAAGACAGCAACTTAGACAACTGACTAGATCTATATTCGTGCCCATTCCAAAGAAAGATCCACAATGTGTCCATTCCAATGACAGATGGCACAACAGAATCCTCAAACTACAGAACAATATCACTGATATTGCACGCAAGTAAAAATTTGCTGAAGATCATCTATAAATGATTGCAGCAGTACATTGATAAGGAATGCCAGAAAATTCAGGACCAGGATGGCTTTGGAAAATAATGTGGAACGAGGGACATAATTGCTGATGTCAGGTGGATCTTGGGGGCTCAAAGGAGAGAATAGCAGAAATATGTTGACTTGTGTTTTATTGACTATGCAAAGGCATTCAACTGTGTGGATCACAAACTATGGAGAACCTTGAGAAGAATGGGAATTCCAGAACACTTAAATTCTCTCATGAGGAACTCAGACATGGATCAAGAGGCAATTGTGGAAAAAGAACAAGGGAGTACTGCATAGTTTAAAAAGGGAAAGTGGGTGTCAGGTTTGTATCCTCTCACCATACATGCTCAATCTGTATGCGTAGCAAATCATTAGAGAAGCTGGTTTATATGAAGAAGAGTGCAACATCAGGATTAGAGGAAGGTTTATTAACAACCTCTGGTATACAGATGACACAACCTTGTTTTGTGAAAGTGAGGAAGACTTGAAGCACTTGCTAATGGAGATCAAGGATTGCAGATTTCAGTATGGATTATGATTCAATGTAAAGAAGACTGAAATCCTCATAACTGGAAGAGTTAGTAACATCATGATAAATGGGGAAAAGTTTGAGTTTTCAAACATTTTGTCTTGCTTGGATCACAATCAATGCTCATGGAAGAAGCAGCTAAGAGCTCAAAAGACACATTGCATTATGTAAATCTGATGTAGAAGAGCTCTTTAGAGTTTTAGAACACAAGGATGTTACTTTAAGGACTAAAGTATTCCTGGCCCAAGCCATGGTATTTTCCACTGCCTCATATGCATGTGAAATTTGGACATTGAATAAGGACATTTGGCATTGAATACCCTAGTATTGAGGTCTGCAAACTATGGTTCTCAAGCCACATGTGTCTCTTTCAGTACATATATGTGGCTCTGAAGTACAATAGAAAAATTTTAAAGGATAATATTCAGGTCATGATTATTTCATTTGTGTGTGTGTGTGTGTGTATACATCAAATACATTTATGGTTCTCAAATGATTATGAGGGACAAGATTTGCTTTTCCTTCTCAAAAGTTTGCCAACCCCTGCCCTATTAGAGTGGCAGATATTCGCTATCCCAAGATTAGGGAATTGGTAGTCATTGAACTTTAGGTTTATTCAAACCCATTGCTTAAGGAAGCCAATGAAGGGTCACCTGGGACCAAAAAATATTTGCTGTTTTTGTGTCCTCTCTGCTTTTTTTGTGACATGTGTTTGTCTACCAGAGATTATTCTGCTTTTATAAATAATATTGAAAATATTACCCTATCTCCAACCTTCATGGCTCATGTAACTAGTGTCCAGTCACCTAAGTTTCAAAGTTGTACACAGTAACAATGCATGCATTGTAGTTCAAAAGATTATCCTACAAATGTATAAATTCTTTTTCTCAATAGTGCTTTAAATTCTACACTATTGACTAAGTTACTGATTCTATCAATAGAATTTCCTTATGCCCCATGAGTATGTTTTATGATGTACTCCAATAAAATGATAATGATGTCTCCAAAGTGAACCAGGGAGATATATAAGTCATAGATATATGAATGGATTTTGAGTTCTTACTTGATCATACCCCAAATATAAGAACAATTCGTTATTATGACATGGCCCTTCTTGGTACTCACTTCCATGAGGAGATCACTGAAGACGTAGGTGCTTGGCTATTAGAAAAAAATAGCATCTGGGGTCTTTCAATCTTGTCTAAAAACAATCAGCCATCTAAATAAGGAGTCAGCTAAGTCCACGTGGAAAAAGTACACCAGGCTGTGAGATCCAAGAGCCTAAATTCTAAACAATCGGTTTGCAGAATGATGGGTGGTCTACAAAGACAGTAACTGTATGAATAATTACTTGGGGGCATGGAAATTGAGGTTGGAGAGGAATGGGGGGTTAACAGCAATGAGGACAAGAATGAGGAAAATGTACCAAAGTTGTACAAAATGTACCCTTCTTGATATAACTGAAATATGGAATTTTATGCTATGTTATTTATATCTAAATAAAACTATTAGAAAACAATGATGAGATTTCAAATACCTCATGACATGGACAAAATTGGAAGACATTATGCTCAGCAAATTTAGTCATTTTCAAGAAGGTACATATTTCATGACACCATTATTATAAAGGAAAAAAAAGAAAGAAAATGGTTCTCACACCAAAGTAAAGGACTTTGAAGACAATGACAAGGCTGGGGGGAAAGGGAGCGAGGAGGGAAGGACATGAGAGGAAGAAGGGAGGGTGGGTGGTGGGAAAAAAAGAAGGAAGAGTCATATGTATGGGCAATTAATGGGATACTCTCACTGTTCTGATGTGATGGGTTCTGCACTACATAGGTTTTTATTTGTATTATATGGTTTTCTTTGTAAGTATTAAGTATACTCCACAAGTAAAAGGGGAAAAGAAAAGTAAAATATAAAAATTTTAAAAATGTACTTTAGAAAGAGAGAGAAGGATCACAACCTTAAAAACCCTCCAGTTTGCTTACCTGTCAAATCTGAACACTGATTTGAGTGGTTATAAAAGGAGGAAAATTAAAATTGTAACTGACTTCAATTTCTTTTGACACACAAGCTAGTTTCAAACCAACAAACAAAAATAGCCACACAGAGCTCACAGACAATACTAATACTCACAAGTAAGGGAGTTTATTAGGAAATGTAACTGGTTACCACAAATCAGGATCAGTAAACAGTAAGGATATAGTCATTGGTCCACAGCAACACTTCTCAGTCAGTAGCCAAGCCACTCTTCAGTTCTCAGAATCTGTGACACTTGGTCCCTTGACATATGCCACTGTGGACCAGGAGGGCAATCCACTGCCCTGTCTTACAGTTCTATAGTCTCAGCACTGCTTCATGGCTCTCTCATGATCTCCCTACCTTAGCCCCTGTTCTCAAACGGTCTCCTTTGCTCTGTCCCAGGTCTCTGTGTCATAGCTTCTGGTGCCTCTGGTTTCAGTCTCAGCTACTTAAGACAAGTCTCAAACATGCTTCATTAATGGCTATTCTTTCAGTGGTCCTGGAATTTCTCTCTGTGTTCCTATTTTTGAGATAGCTCATTCTTAAATGAAAGTTTGTTTTTTTCTCTTCAGCAGATCATACCCAAGGAAACAAAAGGTGGTGACTTGAGTCACAGCCTCTACTAAAATGGAGACTCAGAATATACTCCACCTTAATCGTATAACAACTCCCTCAAAAAATGGGATTATAACCACAGGCATAGATGGTACAATTTATAGTACATCACAAAAGGGATTATGGCTAGCAGGGCCATATTAAACAATTGACTATGTCTCAGATATCATGGTACCATCCTCTACCTAGCACAGTGATTAAGGACAAAGACTCTGAGGTTGGACAGATCTAAAATTCAAATCCTGGTCACATGATTTGAATATAAATCTGTCAATATAATAGGTATGTGAATATGCCAGTTACTTAAGTGATTTGAGCTTCACTTTCTGTAAACATTAAAATGGAAAAAAATAATAAAATTAATTTCTGCCTCCCTAACGCTTTTTGTGAAAATTCCATGAGGAAATGCATGTACAGGGTACAGTTCTTGGCTCAGTACAAGTGATCAGCTGTTATTAAACTTTTATTTGTTTAGTGCTCAGAAGTGAAACTGAAGTGACAGATACAGATTTGCAGGTGATTATTGTAGAAGAAGGGAATCCTGGTCATGTACTGGTTGCATGTTGGGCTTCGATCTGAAAAATCAGCAATTCAAAACCATCAGCTGCTCCTAGGAAGAAAGATGGAACTTTCTACTCCCACAACCAGTTACAGTTTTGGAAACTCACAGAGGCAGTTCTACCTTGTCCTATAGGATTGCTATGAGTTGGCATTGACTTGATGCCATTGAGTTTTGGTTTGGTTTGGTTGTAGATCTGTTGAAACCATGGGCAAAAATGAGAGAATTTGTTTTAAAGTAGACAGGGAAAAGAGCTGAGGATCACATCCAAGGAAATACCAGTCTCTAAAAGGAGCAGGAAGAGACATAAGAAGCAATGGAGGAGAACATGAAAGAGGTGCTATGTCAGACAGAACATAAACATATTATTTCAAGAAGGCATGAAAGGTTAATAGTACAGAAAGAGTAGGATAAGAGGCAAAGAAAAGTCAAATTGATTTGCACAATTTAAAGTTTATCTGAGACCTCTATCAAAGAGTCTCCATGGATCAAGAAATAGAATACAGTGGTTGGGGTGATAGTAAATCAAGGTTAGGAAGTGTAGAACACACTAACTAGAAGATTATTTAGAAATTTGACTGAAAGAGGAGGGCATGATGGGGGTCTAGAAACAGAGGTAGGAAACAGATTGAAGAGGAGTTTTCTCTTCTTCACTTTAATTTTCTTTTGTTCACAGATAGGAACTAACTAAACTTGTTCATAAACACAAGAGATGTAGTTTAGTAGATGGAGGGGTTGAAAGAGAGCAGACACAGTTGATAGAATGAGAGGGTTTGAGGAAACAGGGATGAGTGGACCCAGGGCAGAGGTGGAGGGCTTAACTCTGCTTGGTCCAGAGATAAAAGGAAAGAGTAGGTATGGGTGTAGGGAAGTGTGTCTTATTATCTTTGAGTCCACAAAGATCAGAAAGTTAGGTGACAGAGGTATTTGGCATGCAGAGAAACAAAGAAAACAAAACAAACTCGGTACTATCGACCCATTATGGCCCTATAGGGCAGGGTAGAATTTCCCCTGTGAGTTGTCGAGACTGTAACTTTAGGGGAGTAGAAGCCCTGTCTTACTCCCAAAGAGTGGCTGGTGGATTTGAACTGCTGACCTTGCGGACTGTAGACCAACATTAACCAGTAGCCAACAGGGCAAGCAGCAAGCCCCCAGGAATGCTAGAGAGGAAGGGCTAAGGGGGTTTGTGGGAGTAGAGCTTCAGAGGTTGAGGACATTGTCTTCAACACAGGAATTCCCTGATACACAAAGGAAGCCTTATATTGGGGATGAGGAAAGAGTGAATGAAGGGACAAAATGCCAGAAGTTGGATAAGTATGTATGTATATGTGGTGTGTGGCAGGATTATTATTGTGTCAAAATGACCTTCATTATAAATTGGAAACCTGTTTAGTTGTTCCTTGCAAAAGGCTTATCTATAGCTGGAAGAAAGCATGCTGGGATTGCGTGCTGCCTCCTATCTCTCACTTTTCAATTTCCTCCACACTTTGAGCTTAATTTAAGTGAAATTTGCCTATTGGACAGGAGAGGGCTCCAAAGACCTTTGCTAGTTCTCACTTTCCTATCTCCAGAATCAATCAGAAATCCCAGAAGCCAGAGGAGAAACTATTTATAAGGAGCTTTTTTAGAATACCCCTCTGGAAGGCTATGTCTCAGTCTTAGCAGTCCAGTAGTTCTTGATGGAACTACTGGTGTAGGCAGTTGGAGATGTGGGCTCTGCATCTGGGAACTCTGCTCTCAGTGGGAAGTACAGGTAGACAATTGCCAAAATTTAGCCAGCCAAGAGAGTGAAAAAACAAAACAAAACTTGAACCCTGGATATGGAGGGGTAACCCTGGATACAGACTTAGTTTCCTAGCAAAATATTAATTTTGTCTGCCTCTACTGCAGTTCCCCTGCTTCTCCTCAAATGATTCTGTAATTGTGAGAACATAATCCTTTGAGCTACAAGTCTACAAGAAAATGAAGTGTTTTTGAAGCTCACTTGTGTGCCAATATTTTTGTGGTAGTCAGAGACTCAAATTGAAGGCATTTGACTCCTTCCAGCTTCATTTTTCTTGTTTCTAAGATGTAGTGCTGGTAGGAAGATTTCTTTACTAAAGTTTATCAAATATTCAATTGCTGTGTTCATTTTACAAATGTCAATTCAATTAATTTCCATAACATAGTATTATTATCTGACTTATACACATCGAGCTAATGAGGCTTTGGGAAGTTAATAAACTCACTCAAAGTTAGAAAATAGCAACAAAAAACCCCAAAAGAGTTGTATGAGCCATTAATAAAATGATTTTAAAAACAAACAAAAACAAAACAGAAAATAGCAGACCTAAGATTTGAATTCAGATTATGACTTTAAGGTTCATGCTCTTAGCCACTATATTATGCTGTCTCCCATATACCATGCCTGCCACATTTTAAGAATTTAATAAATGGTGATACTCCACATACTTATTGATGTCCAGTCAATTCTGACTCAGAGACCCTCCCCTTAGAATTTAAAATTTTCACTGTGTGTTAGTCTGGGTAAACCAGGGAAACAAATCCACAGAAACTCATATGTATAAGAGACAGTTTTATATAAAGGCTAAGTGTACATTAAGAAAGCATCCCAACCCAAGGCTGCCCAAGCCCATAAGTCCAACATTAGACCATATGTCCAACATCTATCTACAAAGTCCTCCTGAATCTCACAAAACACACACAATGATGCCAACTGCAGGAGGAAAGCCGAATCAGTGACTGTGTAAGCATCTCAGCGCTGGTAGGGGTCTCCACACGGCTGCTCCAGCACCCAGGGCTGCATCGGGATAGGTCCATGTGGCTTCTCCTCAGGGATGTCTTGCAGGAAGTGAGCCTCGCCAGCTAAAGGAAGGAACTGGCTAAGGCAGCTGCACCCTGGTCCAACCATCAGAAAGCAAGAGACCCGAGAACTAGAAAGACGAGGTTTACCGAGCCGTTTATCTCTCCGCCCTTCAACCAACCCCACATGTGTTTATCAGCCAGGTTAGCACAATTAACCTTAACTATTCACACTGCAACTCCACACAGTGCTATCTGCATTTTACATATGAGGAAACCAGCCAAGTTTGATAACTTGCTCAAGAATGCACTCCCAATAAACAGACTTAATACTTGAACCAAAGAACAAATAACTCTTGGATCAATGCCATTACCCTGTACTGTGTAGTATGGATATTACGGAAGTGCATATGGACCCAGAATGCCAAGGGAGAGTGCTTATTTAAGGATGCTCTGTCAACCCTAGCCATAACTAGATGTGATGGAAAGGGACGGTTCACAGTAGGGATCCATTAAAGAAACTCAATGGCTTCTGGTAGCAGAGCCTGGGTCTCCTGAAACTTCAGGAAGGACACCATGTCAGGTGTTATAGACACTTCACATGCATTTTTCTATTTGGTCCCTCCAAAAATGCTATCAGGAAAGGACTACAACTATTCTTATTTCACATGTGACACAACATAGCCCTGGGTTAAGAAATTAACATATGGGCACACATGGTCCTGAGTCAACAGACTTCCCCGAGTTCACCTTGGGAGATGTTAATCACTGCCAAGATCCTATCATTGTTATAGGAAAGCTGAGGGCATATTACTCACTACCAATTGCCATCGAGTCAATGCTGACTCATTACAATCTAGGAAACCCTCAGGGGTGTTTCTACCCTGTCCTATAGGGTGGTTATGAGTCAGAATCGACTCACTGGCAGTGAATTGTTTTGTTGTGTGTGTGTCTGTGTGTAAGAGTCAGGTATACTATTCAATATGTCAAGAATGTGAGAGCCACAGACGGGGTGATTCTCAGACCCGAAGGCATGGGCTCTTGTCATGGCTTTGCTTTAACTTGCTATATGATCTTGGGAAAGTTGTTATGCGCTGTCAAGTCAGTTTTGCCTCACAGTAACGCTACACACAACCGAATCAAACACTATCCAGACCTGAACCAAGTTGGGCAATTTAGGCAAGACATATAGTAACTTTTTTGTCTGGTCATCCAATTACCCAGTTCCACACTCACAGTGATGAGAAGGGTTAACATTTTTGGACTGCTTACTATGTGTCTAGTACAGCCACAATAACCCTACTGAAATGCAGAGAGGTTTTGGCAAGACATTTGATTCTCTAGGAAGCCTGGAACAGGTTAATGTATAGAACATTAGCTAAGGATTAATGTGGGGATCAAAACTTATGAAAGGGCACAGAAGGCAAGAGGACTAGACAAAGGGACAGCTTTGATGGAAACCTGTCTGCTCTGCAGGAAGTTGTAAAGCTAAAATTACCTGTCAGATTTGTTACCATAAAGGTGAGAGTAGGGATAGTAGGTGTGGGGTGATGGGGTGGTCAAACCTTTATGTCATTTTATCAATTCGTTGAATTCCCAGTCCTGGCTTATAGTACAGAGTTATTTGAACCATCCTAAACATCAAGCTATCACAAAAAGAATGGGTTTAAGAACAAACAAAAAAGATCAGGGAGAGAAAATAGAAAATAATGGATTCTAGAATGAGAGAAATCTGGGTTTAAGTCCAGTAACTTTCTCTTATTAATTGTTTAACTTTGGACAAATTAATGAACTTTGAGTTTCCATTTTCTTTGTTATAAAATGACAATAAGAATACTTATTTGTACAGTTGTTTTGAAAGTCAAATGCAATCATTTAAATAAAGAACTTTGCTTACAGACCTGATGTTAAATTATTGTAGTAAATAGTAAATTATTATCGTTGTGTTCTGATTTCCTCATTTGTAAAGGGGAGTGAATTAAAGAATGGCTACCCAGAAAGCTTGCCATCAAAGCTCAATTGAATTATATCTTTTTTATTGCTTGGTACACAGTAAGCAAACAGTCAGCATTTACTCCAATGAACAAATGTTTATTTATTGTGAACAAACACAATGGCAACTTAAATCTGTAGTTAAGGGAAACAAACATACTCTCCTTCCCAGCCAGGAACTAGGATCTTGGGCTAAAACTTTTTCTACCAACGAGGCTTCACTCCTGTGAGCAACTTGGCTAGAGACTTGGATTTGATAGAGAACAGAGATGTAGTGCTTGGGAAGCTTTCTTTTGGGAAGGAAATGTACAACACTAAAACCATCTTTACAATCCACATAATAAGGAGGGCTACCAGCTGCCCTGAACTGAGATTATCTTAAAGAAGCAAAATGAATGGAGAGGAAATCCTACTCATGTGCATGTGTAACTGATTGGCACTCATTTGAATCCTAATCCACTTTTCTCATCCTAAAATATAACATTAATCAGGTGTCAAAGTAATGATGTAACAAAAGCCAACATAGATGCCAACCTAGGTCCCCTCTCAGCTTAAGACAGTCCTTAGAGCAAGGCATCAGCTCTAGTAACTGCTGAACTAGGCATAAATTATGGAGTGGATCTGATTCCCTGATTTCACACAAAGGAACTTCTACAACTGATTTGCAATGACTAGAGGTATGGGGGAAAAGTCTACAAACAAAGCTGTGCCTGAGAACATTCATATTTCAGAGGAACCAGGAAGAGGAGGGTTTTAGAATTACAGCCTGGAATCCTAAGTGAATATCAAAAGCACTTTTTGAAGATACCTGTAGACCTTAAGGATAAGGTGAAGATGGAGGAGTTATATGCACTATGCCTGTTGAGAAGTCCAACAATAAGTTCCTTCAGAGCCTATGACAAAGATAAATGGATGGGCACACTGGGGCCTTCATCTAAACTAATAAATGGGTCTCCCTCACTCTTAAAACTCTGTAGTACCTTAGGTCCAAGGCCTATGGCACAAGAGACAAAAAGTCACATCTGGAGCATCTGCCCTTCCCTCTACTCAAAACAAAGGAAGAAGATGACAATGGAAGTAAAGGGACAATTATATACATCATTAGCACCACTCTCTTAAAGTAGAAATCCCAAAGCAGAAACAAATGCAAGTAAGTGACAGAGGGGTTGTGCTTCTATCACATTAAATAGGGGACTTGGAGGGAGTGGGAAAGAGTTGTTTCACATCAGGACATCAATCAATCCGGCCAAGGTTATTAGTAGTAGAGCTCCATGTGCTTGCCCTTTCTTCATTCATCTTGCTTCCGCTTTGGCTTTTTTGGGTTCCGGGACCGGCTCTTGGCTTTGCACAGAGGGCATATGGGTGCATTTCGGTGAATTTGTTGATGACACGACAAGCAGGCCTGGTTGGTGGGGGAGGGAGTACAGGACAAAGAAAGTTAGTGGTTGTATTCTTCTGGGCTACAGCTAAACTCAGAGGCCCAGAAAACTATTTTGATTTCTCATCAGAAAAAGCAGTAATCATTAAGTGAACAACAAGGATGGGAGAGCAGTGCTCTTGTGGGCTATAGAAGAGGGGAGTGAGGAGTGTAACCCAGGTTAGAGAGGGTGTTCAGAAAAAGTATCCAAAATTTCAAAATAAAGAAAAATAATGCTTGACTGTCCATTCAACATTATGTTGGAGCACTGTCTATCACGCCCACTCAAGGATTACTTAATTCTCTAGGATATGGATCAGAAAATTTTTTTCTTTAAGGGGAAAGATAGTCAATATTTTTTGTTTTGTTCATATGAACAATAAATTCTAAAAAAAATCTTTATATGACCTTTGTATAGGAATCTTGGTTGCACAGTAGTTTATACATTGCACTACTAACCACAAGGTCAACAGTTCAAAACAACCAACTGTTCCAAGGGAGAATGATGAGTCTTCCTGCTCCTGTAAAGATTTTTAGCAGTGGAAACCTAAAGGGGCAATTCTACCCTGTCCTATAGGGTCACTACAAATTGGAATTGACTGGATAACAGTGGGTCTTTGGGTTTATGGCCTTTCTCATAACCATTTAACGAAATAAACTACAGGTAATACTTAAACAAATGGACATGGATGTATATCAAGTAAACTTTATTTATAAAAACGGGGAGCAAGTCACAGAGTTTGCCTGAGGGCCCAGATCTGAAAGAATATTCCTTTGTTTGGCTATTTATTATCAAATGATATGTAAAATATTTTTGTTTGGAAGCACAGATAGCCACATAGGTTACAGTTTTAATGTCTTGTTGGACATAACCAGAATCCCTGAGTAGTGCATATATTTAATATACTAGTATGCTAACTGAAAAGTTGGAAATTCAAGACCAACCAGAGGTGACTAAGGCAAAAGGCCTGATGATCTACTTAAAACCTCAACGATTGAAAACTCCATGTATAATAGTTCTACTCTGATACACATAGACTCACCATGAGTAGGAATAAACTGTAGGGCAACCAGGTTAGGATATTAACCAATTCTGTACCTAATTTTAAGGGCCCTACTGGTGTAATGATTATGCATTGGGGTGCTAACAGCAGTTCAAAACACCGGCTTCTATGCAGGAGAAAGACAAGGCTTTCTACTCCTGTAAAGAGTTATAGTCTTGGAAACCCACAGAGGCAGTTCTACTCTGTTCTATAGGGTTGCTATGAGTAGAACTAGACCCAATGGTAGTGAGGTTTTGTCCTTAATTTGTAAACTTACTTCAGCATTCCTTTCCATTCCAACTGTTCCTCAAATGCTCTTGGAGCCAGCTTTATAACTCTGTTGGTTCCTTCATTAATGGCATCTACGTGCTATAAATTTGTATGAATCGTGTTTTAACCTTTAGAAAATTATATTTTAGAAGTTGTTCCTAACCCTCTAGCACACTAACCCCTCTGAGGGTATAGGGCCAAAAAAAACTGGTGGGTTCATCACAACACACTTATGCCACCCTTTCCTTTGTATTCTAAGCAAAGGCTGTTTGGGGAAGGCCAAAATTTAGTAGTCAGAGCCACAGACACAACTTTTCATGGGCCTGCCAGAGGATACTTTTTTCCAGATCTCATGCCACACTCACTCACCTTCATAGGTGGAGGCTGCTGTCTGAAAGTAGCTGTCTGCCGAGTGTCCTGCTTCCTAGCCACCTGGAGTTGTTGAGCTGCTGCAGCTGCAGCGGCCAAGGACTCAGGGATGGGAGGCTCCTGAGGTTCCGTCTGCCACTCTGCTTTCTGCTTCTCAAAGTAACTTTGGAGATGAGAGACATTGGCAGAATCATTATGAAAGCAAGGGGAACTTTGCCCCTTTTATGAACTCCAAGTCACAGAACCAAGGGTTGGGTTGTGGCTCACTATGGAAAGTTCCTGTACCTTCCTCAGCATAAGCCTCTTCTCCCTGTGTACCAGGCCCATTGTTTTTTAGGAAAGGTAATCATCTTGCTTCATACTGACAGGCTTGGCAGATCAAATAATCCCAGGGATAGCAAGGTCCTTAAAGGGCATTCAGTACAAATGTACATCCCATGTGCTGAATGCTTTTGTTTTGTATTTAAGTGTCCCCAGGTTTCTGCTGACATAATTCTAGGAAAAGAAGCTCATTACCTCCTCAAGTCGCCCACTCCACCTTTAGAAACTGCTTCTTCTGTGAACTGAACCCTATCTCTTTGTATGGTATGCCTAGATCTTAACTCAGGGTCATAAAATGAAGTCCCAGTCTAGCACTTGGTGACAAAAGCTAAGCCTGCTGTGTTCTCAAAAGGCTCTGGACACTCCTTCTGGACCATGACTCGGGAAATGATATCTTAAGAATTATAGATATTGTCAAAATCACAAGAAAATCTTTCTTAAAATTATATAGTAATATTAGTCTAATAATCCTTTTTATCTAGTATAACAATCTAGCACAGAGACTTTTCCAAAGTTATGTAATGACTCAACCATGGACAAGCCTAGGACTAGGACCAGGTGCCCAAACCTTCAAAACAAACTTTGTGTATGTATGTATGCTTCTGTGTGTGTGTGTGTGTGTGTGTGGTTGTATTACAAGGACAGGAGGAAGATAGCTTACTCCAAGGAGAGCTTCTCTTCTTCTTCACACAGGTCAGGGAGCCTCTGTAGGCCCAGGGTCATGCGTAGGGCATCCACATGTTCCTTCAGTGGCTTATATTCATCATGCAGTCGTCGGGTAGACTCTAGCAGCTTGTTTAGGTCATTCTCAGACTGTTTTATTGTGTTCTCCATCTAAAATGCAGAGAAAGAAGACCTCAATCTTTTCAGAGAGGCTCTGTAGTTGAGTGAGTAATAGCAGACCCCAGAGACTGACCAATCTATGTTCAAGTACTGGATCTGCCATGTCCTCTCTGTGTGACTCTAATCAAGACTCAATTTGTTCATGTATAATGGCATGGTAGTAGCACAATATTACCTCACGCAATATTAGTGAAAATTCACTGAGCAAAATCATGTAAAGTAGTCCGTACAAAGTATAACACAGAGTAAAGGCTCAATAAATAGTAGCTATCATTCCAATATAAGGAGCCCTGGTGATTCAGTGGGTTAAGTACTGGGCTGATAACCACAAGGTCAGCAGTTCAAACCCACCAGTCATTCTGCAGGAGAAAGATGATGCTATCAGTTTCCAAACAGATTTACAGTCTTGGAAACCCAAACGAGCACTTATACTCTGTCCTTTAGGGTTGCTATGAGTTGTTTGGCTTTTGGGTTTTATTCAAATACAGCATTTTAGACATGGAATAGTCCTTAGAACTCTTTGAGTTCATCTAATTGATATTGTACAGATCAAAGAACTAAGGCTAAGAGAGATGAAAAAAAATTCTCAGGGAAACATTTTTTAGGGGCAACACATTGGTAAAACAGTTCAGAACAACTTCTGAATTAGGGGCTCTCAAACTGTGGTCCCTAGACAAGTAGCTTCAGCATCACCTGAAAACTAATTACGAATGTAAATTCTAAGTCTCAACCTCAGATTTATGAGCCTAATAACACCTTGGTTAAGCACTCAGCTGTTAATTGATAGTTTAGCACTTTGAATCCACCCAGTAGCTCCATGAGAGATAGGCTTAGCAATCTGTCTCTCTAAAAATTACAGCCAAGAAAACTCTAAGCGGCAGTTCTAATCTCTAACACATGAGTTAGGACACACTAGACTGTACTCAACAACAATAACACCCCATTGCACAGAAACAGAAATTCTGGAGTGGAGCCCAACACGGTTTCAATAGGCCCTCCAGGTAATTCTGATGTGCATTGAGATACATGGGCCTATATTCTCAGCCCCTGTTATAAGTGTTTTTGTCCTTTCATTATCAATCTATTCTTGATTGGATAAAAGCAAAACTTCCAACTCCTAATTAGATCCAGCAATCCTATAATCTTTGACACAAATAATCCTAAATGCTTACTATCCAATACTCACTCATATTTTACTTAAGATACAAGGCCAGGCTCAAATACAATTATGAGTGTACAATCAGCAGAAGGCACACTAGATCATTGGTACCCCATAAATACAATGTGGGCTTTTAAAAGTTCATGGAAAAATAAAATTAAAGGGTAACTGAATTTCCCCATGTACTTTTCAAAACCCCTTTGTACTTGTATCCATCAAAAGCCTTTATTAGTTCCAACATATGAAAAGATTCTCATTCTCACTAGTCATCGCTGTTGTGTGCCATTGAGTTCATTTTGACCAACAGTGACTCTACACAGAGCTGAGTAAAACTGCTCCATATGGTTTCCCAGGCAAAAATCTTTATGGGATACAGTGTTGTTGGTACTGTGATTAAGTGCTTCACTGCTAACCAATAGGCCAATGGTTCAAACCCACCAGTTTCTTTGCAGGAGAAAGATGTGGAAGTTTGTAAAAATTATAAACTTGGGAGCCATAACCAATTTTATTACACCCTATAGGGTCTCTATGAGTTGAAACCAAATCAATGATGACGGCTTTCTGTTTTTTGTTTTTTAATCATCATGGGAGTATGTTGCCAGGTCTTTTCTTACAGAGTGGCTGGCGGGTTTGAAATGCTGAACTTTCAATTAACAGCCATGTACTTCACTATTGTACCACCAGTGCTCAATTATTAGTCATTCCAGAAATTAAACCCACTGTTGTTGAGTAGATTCTGACTCATAGCAATGCTATAGGACAGAGTAGAACTGTCCCATGGGATGTCAGAGACTATAAATCTTTATAGTAGCAGATTGTCCATATTTCTCTTGTGGAATGGTTGGTAGGTTCAAACCTCTTACCTTTTGGTTAGCACCTGAGTGCTTTAATAACTGTGCCACCAGACTTTTATTAGTCATCAGAGGAATGTAAAAAGAAAAAACTACAATGAGATACCAGCTCACTTCTGCTAGAATGTAATAATATATAAGTAGATAAATAACAGAAAACAAATAGTGGCTAGGATGAGGAGAGATCAGAACCCTTATCCATTGTTGTTGGGTATGTAAAATGCTCAAATTGTGGTGCAAAACATAGTGGCAATTCCTCAAAGAATTAGATATAGAATTACCATATAAGCCAGCAATTCAACTCATCTAAAAGTGATGATGTAAAAATATATGTACACTGCAGATGTTCACTGCAGCATAATTCACAATATCAAAAAGGTAGAAATAATTCAAGTGTCCATCAACAAATGAAAGGATAAACAAAATGTGGTACATACCTACAATAGAATAATATTTGATCTTTAAAAAATGAAGTACTGATACATGCCACAATATGGATGAACATCAACATTATGCTGAGTGAAATGTCAATCACTAAAGGAGAAATTTTGCATGATCACATATAGATGAACTAACAAGAAAAAGTAAATACACACTTACACACACAAGATCCTAGGCCTGGTGATCAGGAAATACGTATTGTCATAGAAATGAGTTTCTTAAGAATATAAACGTAGTTCCTTCAAATGTAATTTAAAAACAAAACTCATTGAAATGTAATTAAAGAACAAAATCAACTTATTGTATTAGACTCTAAGTGCTAGAAAGGGACCTCACAGTTGAGTATATCCCAACCTCTCTCTAGGTGAAAGAATAACCAATACAACTGCCAGGACAGGATCTTATTCAGATTCTGTTTGACTGCCTCTAACAATGGGGAGCTTATCAGCTTATCACCTTAGCAAATAGTTTACTCTTCATGTTCCAAGAGTCTCCAAAGAAGAAAGTCTAATGAGGGAACCCCATTATGGTGAGTAAGTAGAGCTGATTTATTCGTTTTGTCTAAATGGGAGCTTTGAAATCCTTTAAGTTACACTCCAGAGGAAGCTGCCTGCTCTGTTTTCCTCTGAGGCTAACTTTAAACTCCCCCAAAGAAAGCACATTAAAACTGAAAATACCGTTATTGATTCCTAAGACTCAATCATAGTTCAAAGAAGGAAACTGAGGCCCAGAGAGAGAAGATTGTTCCCTGATAGCCATCAGTCAGGACTTCTAGGTCTTTCCATCACAGCCTGCTCCCTTTGGTTGACTACAACCATATCTCAAAGGAGAGGCCATAGTACTCACTATTGCCACTTCCTCAAGGGGCTCAGGGATAGCTGGGCTCCAGGCTGTCAACCACATACCACATTGATGTCAGCATGAATCAGGCGGAGTTCCTCCACATGGGCCATCTTTTCCTGTAGTAGAAGGTCCATCTCCTGCTTGTATTCCTTCAGGTGTCTCTCTTCTGACTCAAGGGCCTCAAATTCAGCTTTCAAACGGGCTTTGATCTTCTCCATCTGCCAGGTCTTATTCCTGCAATTCACAAGAAAGAGAAAACAAGTCATCAAGAAAAGGGAATAAAATGGGCATAGAGTCCAGAATTAGGCCCTAAGCCAGGACCATCTTTACAAGCCTCCTTTTCTTCAGGCAGAATCAATAGCTTTCTTCTGAGACTATGGGTTTCAAGTAAGGATCATTTTTCTCTTTTATAGGGAACATGTAAACATGTGGGTTAGGTTTTGTTGTCAAATTGATTCAAGGGAGAGCAATGCTGCCACTTAGTGGACATTGACCAGGAATGCTACATGGGCTCTCGATGCACAATAAAATCCTGCCCCCAAATAAATTCTATACAAAATGTCAATGTAGACCTCGAGTAGAACAACACTGCCCTTTCCACAATAGAAAATTTCTATGTCTGTGCTAATACAATAGGATAGCTATATTGGCTATAAAGCACTTAGAATTTGGTTAGTATTTGAATTTGGCTAGAATTTGGAGACACCAAATTTTATGTAAAACAAATAATTCTCATTGAAAAATGCAGCTCTAGATCTCTTAATTGTGCTGATGTGAAAACTGTACAGAGACCAAGAGGAAGAGAAATTCTGGCAGAACAAAGAAATATTACCAGGCTTATAATTAGGCAAGATGTGTCAGGGTTGTATCCTTTAACCATATTGATTTAACCTCTATGCTGAGCAAATAATCTGAGAAGCTAGCCTATATGAAGAACACATTATCAAGATTGGCAGATGACTCCCTAACAACTTGTGATATGCAGATAACACAACCTTGCTTGATTGAAGCACTGACTGAAGAAGATAGAACACTATAGCCTTTAGTATAAATTACACATAAAGCTAAAAGAGACAAAAAACCTAACAAATGGAACAATAAACAACAGCATTAAAAATGGAGAAAAGATTGACATTGCCTAGGATTTCACTTGAATCCTTAATAAATGTCCATAGAAGCAGCAGTCAAGAAATCAGATGATGTATTGCATTGGGTAAATCTGCTACAAAAAAAAACTCATTAAATTGTTTGAAAGCAAAGATGGTACTGTATATACTTGAGTATAAGTTGACCCAAATATTCGCCGAGGCACCTAATTTTGCCACAAAATCTGCATTAAAAATGTGTTGAAAAACTTAGTTTATCCTCGAGTACCTTGATGACTAAGGTGAAATTGACCTAAGCCAGAGTATTTTTACTCACTTCATATGCATATTAAAGCTGGAAAATAGAAAAAGAACTAATGCACTTGAATTATCATGTTAGTGAAGAATATTGAATATACCATGGACTGCTAGAGGAAAAGACAAATCTATCTTGGAAGAATTACTGCTAGAATGCTTCTTAGAAGTAAGTACTTTTTTTCATGTACTTTGGACATGTTACATGGAGGGATTAGTCTTTGAAGTAGGACATCATGATTGATAGAGAATCAACAGAAGGGGGGGGGAAGGAAAACTCTTAAGAAGATGAATTAATACAATGGTTTCAAACATGGCAAGGATTGTAAAGATTGTGTAGGACCAGGCAGTGTTACTTTTTTTTTTCCAGTGTTCCTTTCTGATCACAAGTCAGAACTGATTCCATGGCACCTAACAGCAACAATGAAAGGTCTACTAATCTGTTCCAGAGGACAAAGGGGAAGGGAAGAAGTCATTGCATGTATCACTCTTTTTCTTAGCAAAACAAAAAATCTATTTCTGGTTCTTAAATACCCATTGAATACCCTATTGCTTAGTAATCCCATATCTAGAAATTTACTTTTAGTTAAACATGATGGTTAATGTTATGTGCCAACTTGGCTGTTATGATCCTCAACAGTTTAGCAGACATTGCACACAGTGCTTTTCCATAATTAATATAATGTAATCAACCCCTATTTTTAAAATTTGACTTCAGCAGTCAATCCATTTCCTTGGAGGTGCGGCCTCCATCTAATATACATGAAAGTTCTGGAAAACCTTACTCTTTCTTGATCCTGCAGCTGTTTTGTCATTCTCTGACTTCTTAGTCTTAAAATGTAAGCCTGACACATGACCTACAGATTTTGGGATTTGCCAGTTCCTGCAGGTATACGACCCAGTAGTGTTCCATTTTTGGATTTTTCAGCCCTTGCAACCATGAGATTCAGGAGAAACCTCTACTTTCATGCCTGACTCACAGATTTAGAACTTGCCAGATTAGATTCCACAATAATTTGAGCCATTTCCTTGAACGAACTCTCTCTCTTCACTGATCTTGTTCCTCTAAAGATCCAGGCCTAAAACAGGAAGTAATCCAAGGAAGTAAAAAGTTAATTCAAAGATATACTTTCTGGGATATGAGAAAAACTGGGTTATTTAGGAGGCATTAAACAACTTATTATAAGGGGGGGAATTTTTTTCCGTCCCAGTCATTTACAAGGTGGCTTCAAAAAGTGGTGGGAAAAATTTTAAAGTTAATAGGAGGTTCCAGGAAATGGCAGAGATAGAGTCCCCTGCATAGAACGCCCCTTGCATGGCTCATAGATCAACAGGTGAGGAGGCCAATTCTGGGAATTTAGATGTAGGAACTAGGCAATAATACACTCAATGGAGAAAAGCTGAAAATACTTCTACTGAATAAGGAACCTGACAAGGATGTCACTTATTCCCACTGTTATTCAACATTGTGCTGGACGTCCTAGCCAATAACATAAGACAAATGCAAGACATCAAGGGAGTACAATTGTACAAAAAAGAAGTGAAACTTTCACTACTTACAGATGACATGACTCTTTTAAAAAGTCATTTTATTGTGAGCTTACAGATATCATAACATTCCATAGTTCAATCACATCAAGCAGTATTGTACAATTGCTACCACAATCAGTTTCAAAACATTTTCTTTCTCCTTGAACTCCTCGATATCAGCTTCCCTTTATCCCCTCCCTTCCCCACCCAACCCCCCAGTAACCCTTATTATTATTATTTTACATACTATTATTATTTGCCATATCTTACATTATCCAATGTATCTGCTCATCTACAATTCTGTTATTTGTTTCCCTCGTGTGAATTTTGTTATTCGTTTCCCTCGCATGGAGTCATACAGTCAACATTACTATAAGTTACCCCTCCCCTCTTTCCATACCCTAAGGGAATCATTAATTCTGTTACTGTTTCTGAAGGGTTATTTAACTTTGGTTCATGCATTGAATGATGTTAATTATACAAGTGAACTTATGAAGGTCTAACAAGATTAATGGGGTAAAAACAAAGACCCCAATGGTAAAGGGAAACACTATTAAAGAACTAGAGGATAGTTAAGTATTTCATCATTGCTATACCACACCCTTCTGTGAGGGACTGTCCAATTATCTTACAGGTTGGATTTGGGTTTCCACTTTGTGCATGCTCCACATAAATTTTATTGCTTGTTTTTGGACTTCTGATACCTATTCCCATTGACACCTAATAATTACAGGCCGGTGTGTTTCTTCCATGTGGGCTTTGTTGCTTCCTTGGTAGATGGCCGCTTGTTTAATTTCAAGCCTTTAAGACACTAGACCAGCGGTTCTCAACCTGTGGGTCACAACCCCTTTGGGGGTTGAAAGACCCTTTCACAGGGGCACCCGATTCATAATAGTAGCAAAACTACAGTTATGAAGTAGCGACAAAAATAATTTTATGATTGGGGGTCACCACAACATGAGGAACTGTATTAAAGGGTCACAGCATTAGAAAAGTTGAGAACACTGCCCTGGACACTTTATCCTTTAATAGCCAAGCACCATCAGCTTTCATCACTGCATTTGCTTATACACCCATTTTGTCTTCAGGGATAGTTTCAGGAAAGTGAGCATCATACAGTGCCACATTATTACAACTGTTCTTATACTGAGGTAAGATTTAAGTAGAGGCCCAAAGTCCATTTGTTTCCTTGTAGTCTCTATGTATACACACACATATATATATAGACAAATACACCTATCTTACATATTTATATATATATCCATATGTATATTTATACGTACACATATAAATTTTACTTTCTTCTTTCCTCCTGCCTCAGTATTGCTGTGCAGTGATAAACATTCCTGCACAGTTCTCAGGTGGAGGAACAGATACTCTGGCAAGAGCCAAAAATAAGAAACAGACCATGACCAGATGTCTGCCACAAAGGCCTGGGTAGGGGCTGGGGGAGATGTCTTTAAGCACAGGTGCTATCTGCATCTTATTAATTTCTTCTTTCTTTCTTTTCTTTTTCTGTTTTGTTTTTTCAATACTTTTATTGGGGACGCTTACATCTCTTATCACAATCCATGCATTCCTCCAATGCATCAAGCACATTTGCACATATGCTGCCATCACCATTTTCAAAGCATTCTCTTCCAATTTGAGCCCCTGATAGCAGCTCCCCATTTCTTCCCTCTCCCTCCCCAACCCACCCTCCCTCATAAGCCCTTGATAAGTTATAGATTATTTTTTCCATATCTTACATCATCCTCCATCACCCCTCACCAACTTTTCTGTTATTTGTCCCCCTGGGAGGGGGTTCTGGTTTGATCCCTGTGATCGATTCCCCCTTTCTCTCCCCATCTCTACTCTCCTTGTTGGCCCTGAGGGGTTTATTTATCCTGGATTCCCTGTATTGTGGGCTCTTATCTGTAGTAGTGTGCATGCTCTGGTCTAATCCTATTTGTAAGGTAGAATTGAAGTAATGATAGTGGGGTAAAGGAAACACCAAAGAGCTAGAGGAAAGTTGTGTGTTTCATCGGTGCTATACTGCACCCTGACGGGCTCATCTCCCCATGACCCCTATGTGAGGGGATGTCCAATTGTCTAGATGGGAATTGGGCCTCCACTCCATGTCCTGCCCACCCCCCCACCCCCAATTCACCTTGGGTATGGTTTTATTCTGGGTCTTAGATGCCTGATACCTGATCCCATCAACACCTTATGATCATACAGGCTGGTGTGCTTCTTCCATGTGGGTTTTGTTGCTTCTGAGCTAGATGCCCTCAGTGCCTCACCCCAGCATGATGGGGCCAGACC